GCATTTACCCAAATAAGATGAAAACATATCCACAAAAAACTTGCACACGAATGTTTATCACAGCTTTATTCATAATTCCCAGACATTGGAAGCAACCAAAATGTTCTTCGATAGTGAGTGGATTAACAAACTGTGGTACATCCATACAGTGGAGTATTAGTCAGCGATAAAAAGAAATGAACTATCGAGCTATGAAAAGACATGGAGGAGCCTTCAGTGCATATTGCTAAGTGAAAGAAGCCAGTCTGAAAAAGCTAAATGCCGTATGATCCCAACTATGACTTTCTGGAAAAGGCAAAACTATGGAGACAGTGGAAAGATTGCCAGGGGCAGGTGGCGTTCAGGGCATTTTTAGGGCAGTGAAGCTGTTCTGTATGAGACTGTAATATGGATACATGACTGTCATGGATTGAATTGTGTCCTCCAAAAATATCTGTCAGCTTGACTGGGTCATGATTCCCAGTATTCTGTGATTGTGTAAGCTGATGTGATTTCCTTGTGTTTTGTAAACTCTATCACTATGATGAGGTTATATGTGATCTCCTTATGTGTTGTAAACTCTATTACTGTGATGAGGTTATACTGACGAGGTTTACAAGATTAGATAGTGTCTTAATCCAGTCTCTTTTGAGATATAAAAGAGAGAAGCGAGCAGAGACACATGGGAACCTCATACCACCAAGAAAGCAGTGCTGGGAGCAGAGGGGGTCCTTTGGACCTGAGGTTCCTGCGCAGAGAAGCTCCCAGACCAAGGGAAGACTGATGACAAGGACCTTCCTGCAGAGCTGACAGAGAGAGAAAGCCTTCTCCTGGAGCTGACGCCCTGCATTTGGACTTGTAGCCTACTGAACTGTGAGAGAATAAACTTCTCTTTGTTAAAACCATCCACTTGTGGTATTTCTGTTAGAGCAGCACTAGATGACTAAGACAATGACTTTATGTATTTGTTAAAATCATAGGACTGTACAGCACAAAATGAACCCTAATGTGAACTATGGACTTTGGTTAATAATGATGTATCAGTATTGGTTCATCAATTGTAACAAATGTACCACATGAATGTAAGAGTTAATAACCAGCAAAACTGTGCAGAGGGTAAGGGGATGTATGGGAACTCCCGTACTTTCTGCACAATTTTTCTGTAAACCTAAAACTACTCTAAAAATAGAAGTCTATTAAAAAAAGAGAGAGAAGAGAAGCCCAGGAACCACATCCTAGGAGAACAGTCTGGAGAAAGGGGGAAAGGAACATGGAGAAGAGAGAAAGGAGGACATGATGGTCAGTTTCAAACATGTGACGGCCTCTTGTGTGGCTGTTCCCAAGGCCAGCATCAGGGACCTTGGGTGATACTTTGGAGGCAGACCTGGCTCACCATGTTGGTGGTGGTGTTAGGTGCTGTTGAGTTGATTTCAACTCATAGTGACCCCATGTGACAGAGAACTGCCCCATAGGGTTTCCTAGGCTGTATTGTTTTTTTTATTGTGCTTTAGGTGAGAGTTTACAGCTCAGGTTAATTTCTCATACAAAAATTTATACACATATTGTTACGTGACACTAGTTGCAATCCCTATAATGGGACAGCACACTCCCCCTTTCCACCCCAGCTTTCCCGTGTCCGTTCAACCAGTTCCTGTCCCTTCCAGCCCTCGCATCCTGCCTCCTGGGTCTTGTGTATCTGCTTGAACTAAGAAGCACACTCTTCACGTGTATTGTTTTATGTTTTATAGTCCAGTCTAATCTTTGTTTGAAGAGTTGGCTTCGGGAATGATTTTAGTTCTGGGTTATCAGAGCGTCCGGGGCCATGTCTTTGAGGGTTCTTCCAGTCTCAGCCAGACCATTAAATCTAGTCTTTTTATGTGAATTTGAGTGCTGCACCACACTCTTCTCCCACTCCATCAGAGACTGTCTCTTGTGTTCCCTGTCAGGGTGGTCATTGGTGGTAGCCGGGCACCATCTAGTTCTTCCGGTCTCAGGCTGATGCAGTCTCTGGTTTATGTGGCCCTTTTGTCTCTTGGGCTAATATTTTCCTTGTGTCTTTGGTGTTCTTCATTCTCCTTTGCTCCAGGTGGGGTGGGACCAATTGATGCATCTTAGATGGCCACTCGCAAGCTTTTAAGACCTCAGACACCTAGGCTGTATTCTTTATGGGAGTAGATTGCCAGGTCTTTCTCCCTCAGAGCCTCTGGGTAGGTTCAAGCTGCCAACATTTAAGTTAGCAGCTGAGTGCTTAACATTGCACCACCGGGGCTCCTGTGACTCACCATAGGGAGAACTTTAGAACAACCCAGGCTGAGTAACAATGGAACCAGTTGCTTTGCAAAGTGATGAGCTTCCTGTTCCTGAAAGGGCTCAAGCAAGCACATGGAGACTGTTTAACAGGGACAGTGGAAAGGGGCATCCTACGTGGAGGGGTGGGTTAGATTAGACGGCTTCTCCAGCCAGCTTTTTAAGTCTTACTTTCAGGGGTCGAGAGAGAGTGGACCACTTGCGATTTTTGAGGCTCGCTGAAGCAATTAAAAAATGATGGATGACATGCCAAAACAGATTTAGGAAATTATATGGATGTGGACAGTGCTCTGGGCAGAAGGAACAGCACCTGGAAAGGCCGAGAGACAGAGAAAATGTGACACATTCTAGATCCTAAGCACTGATGGGGATTGAGGTAGGGAGGAAGTAAAGCTGGAGATGTGGATGGGTCCAGATCCATTATAAATTAAATATTTATATTTAGTAAAATAGCACTTTTAACACACAAATATGATGTAGGGCGGCGTGCTATTCACAAGACAGGGCTTCCTTAAAAATATGTATGTATTCTGAGGGTACTGCAGATGCTAGTGATAGGCACAAGTTTAAAGCTACATGATGGACTTGTCGTCTCTTGGAACTGCTGTTGTGTCTCCGGAGTGTGGAGACCCTCCTAAGGAGACAAGCAAAGTCTAAACCTGAGAGATCCTAAGCCCAAAGACACTCTCCCCAGCCCCAGTTCTACATATGTCATTTTACCAGCACCTGGGAGGGTGCTTGCAGAGAGCTCTGTGTAGTGCACGCGCACACACACACACACACACACACACACATGAAAACCTGCAGGGTGAAAAAGTGGAAGATATTGCTCACTGCTTTATGGAAACCTCTCTAGGCAAAGCCTCCTTCCTGAAGCATGAAGTTCACTTACCAGGTTAAATGAGAAAGAATCAGTCCCCCATCCTCATCCCATGAAAGTGTGATCCCACCTTGCTTGGGGGTCTCCCGGAGTTCAATTCAGGTGCAGTGAGAGAGACCAATGGGCTAATGTTGGACAGATGCTGAACATCTCTCTGCTACCTATCTGGGCCCCCAATCCCCCCACCCCCAACTCAGCAGCCAAAGCACTGTCTCCAAAGGGGTCCGAGCACGGCCCTCTCCTGCTTAGTTCTTCATTGCCATCCTGTTTCCCCCAGGATCATGGTCAAAGTCTTTGTGATCTGGACCCATCCCCATCTCCAGCTTTACTTCCTCCCCACCTCCATCCCCATCAGTGCTCAGGATCTAGAATGTGTCACATTTTCTCTGTCTCTCGGCCTTTCCAGGTGCTGTTCCTTCTGCCCAGAGCACTGTCCACATCCATTCCTTCCTCCCCTCACTTGGCCAACTCCTCCATGTCCTTCTCGTCCTTCCCCGCCCGGCCCTGGCTAGGCTAGGTGCCCTGCGAGAGCCCCCCATCGCAGTCCCAAGGGCCAGTGGGGGGCACTCCTGAGAAGTCCCCAGGGCCCAGCTCGGGTCCTGTTCAGGCCCAGGCGTGTTGTTGAATGAGTGAGGGACTGACGGGCACTGGCAGTTCCAGGCATGTCTTCCTTCCTGGAACAAAGGAAGGCTGGGGCTGTATCCCCACGTAGCCATGGCTCTGTGTGGCGAGTCCCGGAGCAGGCCCCAGTTTTCTGCATCACCTAGTGGATGCCACAGCAGAGGTTTCCTGGGCCCGCTCCCAGCATATCTAGTGCAGGCCTCAACAGTTAGGCCCATGTTAGAAACACGGGGGATCTGGCTGCCTCGTACTTGGAAAGCACACTGCCTCCATTTCTCCCAGGACTGAACGTTAGACTTGGGCCAAGGTAAGAAAACCAGGAAAGCAAAGGAGTTGGAAAAAAAGAAAGTAATTTCTCTCTTGCCATCTGCTTCCCATCCAGAGTTCCAGGAAGCAAGGCTCCTTGTTAGGTTGGGTAATCTCCAGACCCTAAGCTGTCTCCCTGAGGGCCCAGCTGAGAACTAAACCCTCTCCCGTTCGGAAAATGCAGAGATGCGTGCTGTTCCAGGGCCTTGCATGCTGTGCGGCCCCATGCTCCACCTTGGGTGGGACCACAGTGCACACTGGGCAGCCCTGCCTGGCTCCTTTCTCTCTGGCCTGCAGAGCAGATTCCTCCCTAAATCTGATGGGACAGGGTGGGGCCCCTGGAATCCAGGGAAAAGCCTGAATTACATGGCACTGTATTTTCTTTCTGAAAAATATCAACCTTAGAGAAAAGTTGCAACCACAGTACGCAGACATTTCCCCCTTGAACCATTTATTTGTGAGTAAGTTTAGACCTGATGCCTGTTTCCTACAGACAAGGACATTCTCCTACATAATTACAATGTTGTTATTGTTGCTGGGTGCCGTCAAGTCGATTCCGACTCATAGTGACCCTTTAAGACAGAGTAAATGAGGGTTAATGACAGGCCTCGCTGCTGGTGGGAGGCCTCTGTGAGCAAATGGCAGGCACAACCCAGCGCCTGCTCAAGGTAACTGCTCACCAAACGTGAGCTATGACGGCTATCACGTTTTTCTCTGAACCCTAGACAGGAATGACTCCTTTTTAGAAGGCAGGGCCAGGATGCCGGGTGGATGGGGGGGCAGGGTGGGTGTTTCCTGGGCCGCGAGCCTCCGTGACTCCCAGGCCTTCCTCCTTTTGCAGGCTTTTTTTTTTTTTTTTCCTTTTGGCACGCGAGCGGCCAAGTCTGGGAGGGTTTCCTGGACAGAGGTACTTGTGGCTGCTATCTTAAGACGAGTAGCGCGGGCCGCAGCTGCCACTGCTCTCTGACCGGGCCCATTGCAGGAAGCAGCAGCGGCAGCCCCGCGGTGCAGCAGCATGGAGCTTCGGGGGGCCTACCTGCTCCTCTGCCTCTTATCCCTCCTGCCCCAGGACATGGCCGAGCCACCAATCCCCAAGGCCAAGAAGGCAGCAAATGACAAGAAAGGTAAGGAGGGGAGGGGCCAAGAAGGCAGCAAATGCCAAGAAAGGTAAGGA